CCTTTTACAACAAAAATTTGACCCTCAGGAAAATGTCTGGATTTATCTGGCCCGGGAAATTTTAAATAGAACGGACTTCTGCTTAGCGGGAGGGATCAATGCTCACCTGGTTTTTACCTCATGCTTAATTGCAGTACCAACCCCTTTGAAAACTTTACAAAATTATACTATGCTGAAAGATATAGATAAGGAAAGTACATATCAGGATATATATGTAAGTGGGGGACTATTGTAAAAGAGAAAAGCAGAAACATGTTCTCCTTACGGGTTCAGGCAACAGCTAATGCTTCTGAATGTTTCCTAATGGTTAATTGTACTGGTAATTGCCTTAAAATTGAACCAAGGTAAATCAAATGATTTTACAAACAAAGAAAGCTGATGATACTAGATTTTTGTTAAGCCAAATTGATTGGATAATAATAATTAAAAATGCTCCAGAGGGGGGAATGTAAGGAGTGACCTAGAAACCACTATGCAAAGACCAAGCAGAAGAGAATGTTATGTGATGAATGCCCATCTGCAATGATAAGGAGGAGACAGTCTTAGATAAAGGAGGCTTGAAAACAAAATAAGAAACAGAGTACTGGGTTATAGGGCTCATTAAAATACTAAAAATCACACCCCTAGGTGGGGAAAAAGTATGCTAATGAAACATACATGTATGTAAATGAGATACATGGCTAAAACACAGGTATAGAGACATGTTCAGTAAAGAACTCCTTGCGTCACTCCTTTATAACCAATCAGCAAACAAGGATGCTTATGGAGGTTCAAAAACTCCTGTATAAAAGATGCTCAGAAATAGTAATCTAGTGTGCTTGTTACGTGAAATTATTCCGCTCGCACCTTTTATTGCTAGCAATAAACTTTCTTTGTACTTTCACCCCTGGTATCTTTATTGGCCTTTGCATACCGGGCACGATCCCAGACTTGAGCTGGGGCTCAACATTATGAACAGGACACTTGCATTTGTCCTTTTAGGAACCAGAACCTCTGGAATTCGCAAGGATTTGCTTCAGAGCAATAGCTCCTATAGCGCTAGGTTTCTTCATACTCCTTCTCCAGAGTAGCCATGGGAGTTGTTTCTCTGTATGCAGAGCGAGACCCTTGCAAGAAAATAGTTCAAAGCTTTATGTAATGGCAAAGTAAGAGTCAGTGGTTTGCAGGAGCAAGGCAAAATTCACTCTGAGGCTACTAAGAAGTTGCCCCTAGAGCCTCCTGGACATGGTTCAGTGCCTTCAGATTTCTAGGAGGATGGAAGTTGGCCCTAAAACCTCCAATTCCACATTCTGGCAAGTAACCCATTCATATGCAAGAGGAGAAGATGCACAGCATAAAACCTTTCTTGTAAATTTTCTATGAACAGTGTGGGATGATATGTTCCAATTTATACTCACCTCCTTGTGACACACTGTGCATAGAGTCTGAAGGTTTTCCAGAGAACACTGTCCTCCTCCACTGTAAACTGGTTTGATATGATCCACCTGCCAGAACTGGCCTTCTGTTGGGTTGGTTATAATTTCATTTAGCTACAATAAACAAAAGACAATGTCAGGATTTGTAAATGGACCACTCTGAGCTGAACAAAATGCAACATTCTGCAATCATGGTTATATAGTAAGAACAGAGGAAACAGTAAAATAAAATATTTTTTAAATAGATTTCACTGGGAGAAGGAAAAAATTGACTCTTCGCTATTTTGTTTATTGCTAGCAGGTAACCAGAAATTGTACTTTGGATGGTACAGTTTCCCTCAGCCCACAGTATTTTGATATATTTTATATCAACTATTTAATTCCATGACTCCCTGCAAACACATCCCAATGCATCTGTGCACCTCCACAGACTTCTAACTGAGAAACGATGCAGAACAAAGGATTTGTGTGACTGTCATGGGCAACTCGCCCTGAAATTTGTTATTTTACACTTAAATATTAAAATATTAAAAACGAAAGTAAGAGAAAAAACCCTGTTGCGCTTTTAATTCTGCTGCTCACAAAACAAAGAATCAGATTATTACCACATGCTTGCCATTTAGAAGTGTGTTCACTATTTCTACTATATTTAAATTTTTAGTTTGTTGACAAAAATTGTAAGAATGAGCAATATGATAAGCTGTATTCCTAATTTCAAAAGGTTAAGAACTATTGTAATTTAAAGGTATTATAGAGGTGAATACTATCAGTGTTGGGTGTACAAAAGCTGTATGGGGAAAAGGAGAAATATCTTTGTAGTCTGAATGAACTTTTTACTCTTGCTTCTTCGGAGAGTTCTGGAAGCTTGTCATTTCTGCAACTGAAACGTCTCTACCCGAGTCCCATTTTAGACTGGAACATGGGTGGAATGAAACAAATGTCAGCTGTAAAAAGTTCACGGAACAGATCACTAGAGCTCGGTTGGGACGATGCTTCAGTGGGAAGATGAGAAACTTGCACTTCAAGTAGGCAAGATGACAGGGGAGCCAGTGGCAGCATGAGTGTCCACTGGACATTAGCAAAAAGACAAACTTCAGAGTCAAGGATTTCAGGGAAAGAATTTTGAGTGGACTTGAAGTGAGCCAGGGCTGAGATGCTTTAACCTTCACTGTATTTTTACTTCAGAGTTATGGTGAAGTTGCAACTAATAAGAGCTTCTGATTGCAGTGTATGAAACTCTTCAGCATGACTAAAGCACTTCGAAGAGAAGGACACCAAAACTGCTAAACTGGATACTGAATGCATTTTAAGAGGAACAGGTTAGGCTATGTAAAAAATCAATCAGTAATCCTTCCAGCTACTTTGACTGACAGTACAGTACAGCACTTCTTCCCTTCCTGTATAACAGCTATTGCTGACGATTCTGCTAATAGAGGTCACTTACCAGTAACTTCTTTGAGAATCATACCTGTGCGTGCATTAGCAGACAAGGTTTTTCGGGTAGATGTGATATCTTTTATTAGACCAATCAAATAGCTGGAAAAATTGTTTTTTGCAAGCTTTCAGGCACAAACACCCTTCTCCAACCAACAACCTTAAATACCTGTGCATTCTCACATGCACGATATGGTAATTTCAGCATCATGCTGTGGAACAGATTCAAAATGCAGTGTCTCTTGGGGGCAGTTTGTTGACAAGACAAGAGCTGCACCCACAACTGGATACGATTTTTAAGGTAAAGCCACAAATGGGAAGGCACAAGAGGCCCTCAAATAAGAATGAAGAGATGCACAGTTTTGGTAACATTTAATAAATGTTTGTTAGTGCTCCAAGTTCTACTCTCATCAGCAATTTGGGCTATAAAATGATTTTTCAAAAAGGAAAAAAATCAACAGTATAACAGCTATATCTAAATCCTGCATCTCTTGTAACGACATGTGATACTAAGCTTTGTCTCTTGACACTCACAGCTTTTCCCAGCTACAAGGCCTTTCTTTAGTGTTTCAAATAAAATCTTTGAGCTGTAGCACAAGGAAACTCAGGCATAGGATAAAGCTCACTCCCAAGGTACATGCCATCTTAAACAGATGAGATACGATTAACTAAGTGAGCACTCATCTACGCAACTAATTCCTCTCTTCGGTGCTTCAGGTCTTTGGGCCCAAGCTCTCATTCCATATATTTTCATAAGCTTCATTTTGAAAAACAGGAAATATCTATATAAAACACTTCATAGTGCCATACAAATGCAGGTATACCACTTCCAGTTCAGAAGTGCCAGTGTATTGAAGCCAGGCCACTGCCTGGCACAGTACAACTGCAGTACTTAAGTTAAAGATATATTTGAATTTGTAGAAATAGGAAGCAGTACATTATCAGATCAGACTGCCTTGCAGTTATTTTAGTAACAAACTGCTGCCCATCAGAGTGTTTTTGTGGGTTTTTACTATATTTGTGTTTGACTGCTTCCCTTTTAAAATAATTTGAAGAGCATAAGTTTCCACAATTGAACTGAAGTGATTATGTATAATAGATTAAAATACTATTGATATTACCTGTCGTAATGGAAGCTGTGACATCCAAGTACTATCCAGAAGTTTCTTACGCTGACTTTTAGGAGCATCTCTGATGTTAAGGTAGAGTTCTTGAGCATTCTGTTTGCAAAGCTGGCAAATACCTCGCTCGATTTCAAAGACTTTAGTCCTCAGGTAGCTGTTACTTGAGCGAATCAAGAAGTCTTCTTGGCATGCATGCGAGCAAAATCTTGTGTCCCAATCACTGGATTTGCAGTGTTGGTCAAGCTGGACTGTTGGATGTTGACAATTTAGACAAAGAGGATTCCCTTTATTATCTACAGCCTGCAAATAGCCTTTCTTTATGGAAGGATCTTCCTCAACTTCAGCCTGAGCAGAGACTAAATTAAGAACTGGAGAGTCTTTTCCATCTTCCAAAAGCAACCTGTTAGGAAGACAAGTAGCAGTTATTTAATAAAACTGGTCTTGATCAATACTAATAGTATTTACTACTAATACCATAGTATGTACTATTAGGTTTCTTATATTTTATATCTTATACCTTACTTAATTTTATACCTTATTCTGGTTATTCACTGTACAATGTAATTAACCCCCTTGGACTATATTTTTAATAAAATTTTATGACCAGATTTTAAAGGGATTTTTACACATACAATGAGTGCATTTGCATATGTAAATGTGATTATTACCTGCAATTTTCTATTATTCCTGTGGAAATGCTAGTTTGCACACATATTAAAGGGGGGTGTTCTTGCATAGAAGCGGGGTATTGGAGTACAGTATGACAATTATTACCCATAACTGAAAGTAAATTGCCAAAGTAAATTGATTCTTTTCAGAAAAAAACATTCTGAGAACTTCCTGACATTTTTCATGGCTATCTGGTAATAGTCTGACTTAGATGAGGTTCCTATCTTGTCTGTAGTCTTCAGCAGCTGAAAACTAGTTGACCAATAATGTTTAAAAAGCAAGCTTGGGCTTGTTTCCAGGTGGTTGTAGACACTGCTCTCTACCATATTATATTTAATTTACAACGGAGTAAGAGAGACACTATGTCTCCAAGCCATATACTCACAAGCTTGTTTGAGTGAAAGCTCTCCATTTCTCTTCTTTCATTTTAATGGACTCAGTTGTGCACTGACAAGCAGTCTAGTTATTATTACAGGAAATGCAATTTAGTTAAATTAGCACAAGAAACTCCCTCATCTAAACAATATATTGCAGTAACGTAAGTCATCATACCCTATAATTTTATTACCCAATATAAAAATAAATTTTGAGGATCAATAGTTTAATCACTACATTATGGCTATTTTGTCTGCTGTTAACACTGATGAACACTGATGAACTTACTTTGTTGAAGGGCCATCTTTTTCTCCCACAGAAGTAGCTTCAGTTTTCAGGTTAAATGTAGCTTCCTTTGAAACCATACGTACACTCCCCCCACTACTGTTCGCTTTGCTTAGTGAAGCAACTGCAACATCTTCTTTTGTCACGTACCTAGAATGATTACAAATAGTTTCAGCATTCCCGTTTCTGGTCATACGTAGCAGACAATGAAACACTTACAGAACATGCCTACTACTGCCTGCAGCAATATTCGTGTTGAAAATCCTCTTCCAAATATTCCCTGTTTTCCAGACATACAATTGAGAGCAATGAATTTATTTTCTCAGATTTTTCATGAGATGGGGTTGTCTTCCCCCCCGCAAAAAATGAGCCTTTGCTCCATTTTGTAACCAATAAATGAGCAAGTATTGAATGATGACTAGTTCAAAAGTGATTAGAAAACAACTGAAAGAAAACAACTCATGGCAAATATCATGAATTTTCTATTTTTATGTACCCGAGGAAGAGAATATGGAAGAGTCCTTGCTAAATTTAACTTTGCATATATTTGATTTCCTTTTTATTGTGGTATCACAGAAAACTAATTCTTCTAAATAAAGCATTTTTAAAAACTCAGCAGTCCTCAACCCAATATTTTTGGTCATTTATTAGATGTAATTACAAAGCAAACTAAGTTACAGTAGCCATATCAATAGATATAGTCACTCACATACTAATAAGTGTCATCTTGTTATTTTCGAGCCAGTGGCACGGCTGTTTGAGCACTTGTGGTGCTCAGGTGAGGTCCCAGAGGACTGGAAAAGGGCCAGTGTAGTTCCTGTTTTCAAGAAGGGGAGGAGGGAGGATTCAGGTAACTACAGACTGGTTAGTCTCACCTCTCTCCTTGGGAAAACCCTTGAAAAAATTGTTAAGGGACACATTTGTAGGCGTCCAGCAGGTAATATAATGCTGAAGGGCAGCCAGCACAGGTTCATAGCAGGTAGATCCTGCCTGACTAACCTTGTTTCTTTCTATGACCAGGTGACTAAATACTTAGATGCAGGAGTTGAGGTAGACGTCATCTACTTGGACTTTAAGAAGGCCTTCGACACAGTATCCTGTCCTATTCTCATAAACAAATTGAACAGCTGTGCATAGACGATTACACAATCACGTGGGTGGCAAATTGGCTGAAGGGTCATACCCAGAGAGTGGTGGTGGACAGGTTGGTATCGACCTGGAAAGATGTGAGCAGTGGGGTCCCCCAAGGCTTGGTCCTTGGGCCAGTGCTGCTCAATATCTTCAACAGTGACCTGGAGAGGCTGTGGAAAGCACTGTCCAAATTCACAAATGACACAAAACTATGGGGTGAAGCAAACACACTGCTGGGAAGAAACCGAATCCAGGCAGACCTGGACAGGTTAGAGAAGTGGGCAGGGAATAATAGGATGCAGTTCAACAAGGACTAGTGCATGGTGCTGCACCTAGGGAGAGGGAATCACCAGCACACCTATAGGCTGGCAGATGACCTTCTCAGCAGCACAGCAGCGGAAAGAGATCTTGGAGTCATTGTCGACTCCAAGCTGAATATGAGTCATCAACGTGATGAAGTAATTAGCAGAGCTAAGTGCACTTTGTCATGCATTAGTAGGTGCATCACGAACAGGTCCAGAGAGGTGATGCTTCCCCTCTATGCGGCACTGGTCAGGCCGCAGCTGGAGTACTGCGTCCAATTCTGGGTGCTGCACTAAAAGAGGGATGTGGACAACCTTGAGAGGGTCCAGAGGAGGGCCACTCGTATGGTTAGAGGCCTGCAGGGAAGGCCCTCTGAGGAAAGACTGAGGGACCTGGACCTTTTCAGCCTACGCAAGAGAAGGCTGAGGGGGGATCTTGTGGCAGTGTACAAACTCACCAGGTGGGGGGGCAGAAGGGAATGGAGATGCCCTGTTTACTAGGGCACCCCTTGGAATAACCAGGAACAACGGCCACAAGCTGATCGAGTAGATTTAGGCTGGACATCAGAAAGAACTTCTTTACGATTAGGGTTGCCAGAATGTGGAATGGGCTTCCAAAGGAGGTGGTGCTCTCCCCTACCTTGGCGGTCTTCAAGAAGAGACTGGACAAGCACTTGGCTGGGGTCACATGACCCGAGCATCTTTTCCTGCCATGGGCAGGGGATCAGACTTGATGATCCATTGACGTCCCTTTGGACTATACCATCTATGAATCTATGAACACACAGCTCCTATCAGATCTGTTTGATATAGTAACTAGAGTAACAAACCTAAGCCAGGTTTATAATTGCCCTATTTATTGCTGCTACTTGCTGATCTATACTTTTTTTGCAAGCCTAGAATTACATATGGTTAGAGGAATTCCTGCCTACCACCAAAATGCAGTCATTTTGGAGGGTTTAGCAGTAGGAGTTAAGAGGAAACAACAGCTTTTAGATAATTGCAGACTACTTTATGAGAAAACCTGTGAGAGAGAAATTTTAAGAAAAGTCTTATTACAGGAGTAAAGGTTGTGAGCATGAACGTCAGACAGGATAGTGACATTATGAGAGCGAGAGAGGGAGGCAGAAAAGAGAGTAGGAGGAAAGGTAAATTTAGATTTTACCACTGATTAGGTACCTACTACTTTTCAGCAACACAGGAAAGGATGTAATAGCAAGTACTGAAAAAGTTGGCATTTGAAGAAGATAAGGCAATTGGCTAAGAGCTGATGCTGAGAAAGGTAAGAAAGAGATTCTGGGTTACGAAATAAATATTGGGCCAATGAACGTATTATCATGAGTAGTAATTTATTCCTGCTTATGATTATGTTGATGTATTAGGGATACGTGGGGGTTTCAACTACAGAGAAGCAGGGAAATATGGTCTACATGAAACTACTGTAAAGTGAGCCAGATAGTCAACAATGATTCAATGGCCAACTGGGAGGACATATCCAGTGGAGTTTCCCAGTGGTCTTTCCTGGGTCTGGTACTCTTCAATATCTTCATTAATGACTTGGAAGTTGAAATACTGTGCACACTTGTGTATTTTCAGATGGTACCCAACACAGTGGATGAACAGAAACTTTTGAGAATAGGATTAGGATTCAAATGACCTTGATAAATTGGCAAAATAGCCTGAAATAAATAGGATGATATTCAGTGAAGGTAAGTGCAAAATACTACACTTTGGACAGAACAATCAAATGCAAAAACTCAAAATGGGGGACTAACAGGCTAGGCTACAGTACTATAGACTGAAAGTTAAATAAGTCAACAATATAATATTGCAAAAAGTATAATGGTATACTGGGATGTATTATCAAAAGTGGTGCATGCAAGTCAAGATAAGTGATTATTTCCACTCTATTCAGCACCAGCAAGACCTTATCTGGGAACCACACTTCAAGACAGATGTGGACCAACTGGAAAGAGGCCAAAGGAGAGCAACAAAAATGAACAGAGGTCTAGAAAGCATACCATAAGAGGAAAAGCTGCAAAAAACTGGGATTATTTAGACTGGAGAAGAAAAGACTGGGGGATTTGATAACAATCATCTTAACTAAAAAAGTGTTATTAAAAAAAATAAAATAATCAAATGTCTATGTCCACAGGGAACATGACAAGTAGTAATGGGCTTATATTACAAACAGGTTGGGTTTCTCACTACGAGGGTGGTTAAGCACTGAAACAGATTACACAGAAAGACTATGAAATCTCCATCCCTAAGTTGGCAAAATAAGGTTAGACAAACATTTGTCTGGGATGGTGTGGATAGTGTAGATCCTGCCCTGACTACGGGGCTGGACTAGATGACTTCTGAGGTCTTGTTGAGACTTCTGAGGTCTTGTTGAGCCCTATTTTTCTATGAGGATAGAAAGATGGAAAAGAAGAAGATGGTGACAGCCCTGCTGTTTAAAAATTACTTCCAGAGAGGCTCCCTCCTGAGTGCTGTATCTTACTGTGTACCAACAAGCATTTCTGGGTACAGAAGGAGTAAGACTACCTTCTTCTGGAATGGGAGGCATTTAAAATGATCAAGAACACAGTGTTAAAATATAAGTTCCTGGTTTAACCTAATGCCAAATAACATTTTTTCCTTTTTCTAAAAGTTTGCAGCTGACTTTGAAGATGGAAAAAATACAAAAGGTGCTCCTTTGGGAAACAATGCTACCCCTACTGCAACAAGAGTGAGTCAGAACCAAAAAAAAAAAAGTTAAAAAAAAGAATTTCTCTCACAATGCATGCATGAAGTGCTAGCTAAGCCAAGAAGTTAAAAATTAAGAGCAAAAAAGGTATCTAAGTTTATATCCTCACAATGCCAAAAACATTATAATAAAACCTTGTTCTGCGTCTCCCAGTGTATTCTGCATTTTCTAAAGGACCATACTATCTTCAGGATTGCAACTGCACCTTTCAAAGCTTCAAGCACACTGGTAGTGCTTAAATGAATAACAAATAATGCCAACATAAATGAGATGTGAAAGCCAATAGGTGGCATTTGGAAACCATGAAGGAAAGATTTTTCTCCTGAATCTCTGGCAGGTTCTGGATGTTTAAAGCTGCAGAAGCCTGCAGAGCCAGAATATTTGCTGGACTAGATTCACAGAGAGAGAGACAGGCAGCGTGTTCTGCACCAACAGACTTGCTCAAACATGCACAGAATGTGTAATTTTGTCCCTATAGGACAAGCTGTCACATGACGTTCAGTTTATCTCAACATGATTCTACTGAAAGGTACAGAAAATAAATGGGGCCCCTTGCAGCAATGAACACAAAAGAAAGAATGGAGAGTAAAAACACATACCTTTTTGTGCTGCTAAGCCTGGCCTGCTGTTTAGACAGCTCTTCTGCAACAAGAATGGGGCTCCGAAAGATCTGACCACTTTTTCTGATAATTTTCTGCTTCATGGCTGTTAGATTACTCCATTCTCTCACAAACCTCAAAATCTGTCAGAGAGAGAGAGAGAGAGAGAGAGAGAGAGAGAGAGACACACACACAGAGAGGCAAGGTCAAGAGGACAGGCATTAAATAAATATCTATTTATACTGAATAATATCTTAAATGAGTATACTGAAAAATGTCATACTGAAAAAGTTTGCATGCTATAAGCTGGTCCTTTCTAAGTTGTACCATTTGATACCAGCTGCAAAAGGCCTGCAAAGTCTTGAGACTCAGGCACGGTTCACCTTTAAAAGTTTTGCTGGCATAGCTAGATGGATTAAGAGTGTGAAAAAAGAAATCTCACCCACTAAACATAGCTATGCTGACAAAAGCCCTAGTACAAACACAATTATACTGGCAAAGAAGCCAGTTCATTTGGGAAGCACTGGCATAAGCTATTCTGAGCAAAGAACTCTTGCTAGTCTTAGCTGTCTCTACTAGGAGGATTTGCTGGTGGTGCGATATTGGCAAACCCTCTCTTTTGAGAGAAAGACCTTGGCTAATAGGAAAAATGTAGGCAGAAGGCTATGTGCTACTTAGGCAAAACTCCCAATACTGTCTCTTTGTCTCACAGTGGAAGTTTTGGCTCCGTAAAAGTGCTGTGAACAAAGTCTATAATTAGGTTCACAGACAACCTTTGCCTCATGTTTTAAAAATCCAGCACTAGTTTCAGTACTAGACTAAATGGCATCCCTCTACACAATTTGAAAAAGTTATTTCACCTAGCTTTCATTACTTTTCTTAATATTCTTCTATTACTGCTAAAATTCTTACAGCCTAATCTAATTCCAGAGGCAATAGTGAAAGCTGTAACAAAAATCAATCGAACTGTTTGTGTGTAATGCCTGAAGATTTATGCCTCCTTAAAAAATATTTCGGTACTATTGCATAGTTAGAAAACTCATTTGTGATCCATACAAAAGTATTAAAATTGGCTCAGTTAGTAATGAAGTCAGAATTCAAGTGTATTCGCATATTCATTTTCAAAATGTTTTATAATCACAGCTTCACTTATTTCACTACAAGTTATCCACTCTTTCTGTGGCACTTCAATGCAAGAGAAAATCTATGACAAATTAGCATATGTAATTTGTTACTGAATTCAGTAAGCAGGGCAATATAAAGCTGAGTTGCACAAAAAAATGTTAAGGCAATTTTATTTTACACTGGCCCCTAATGTATCATGAACTGCAAAATTAAGTAGTAAAGATGCAGAACTAAATAGAGGTTGTCAGGGAAACCAGAAGTTTTGACACTGCACAGAACAGGACTAATCAGGATTTTAGCACCTAGAAATATGGATTTGTGCTTCTGACACTTCAAAGGCACAAGTCAAGGCAAATTTGAATTTCCTACCACAGCAGTGCTTGACAGCAAGGAGCGCCACAAGCAAATATAATAGCTGAGACTTTCTAAACTAAAGAGCAACAAAAGAGTTAATAGTAATATTCAGATTTCCATAACAAGGTTGAAGCATGAACCTCCCACTGATGTAGGCAGTTCACACCTCCTACACCAAATGTTTCAGGCTGTCAGAAGACTCATCATCAGCTACACTTGGCCCTTGTCTGGGAGGTCCTCTTTGGACTAGAGACAAATTTACAATTTAAATTTGAACACAAATCTCCAAGCAGCAGTGAATTCAGTAATAAATTCAACCAGCACAGATTCATGCAATACATAGGTTTTTCTATATGGCTAATCACCTACTGCTATATTCAGCTTTTCATAATAGAAAAAGAAACCATAATGTAAAAATTGAACCTCTCTCTTTGGTTGCTGCTTTTATATTTTTGAATTGGAAGAGCTAAAGGGGATTTCAGTATTCCTAGAATGAGTCATTAAAAGAAACCCTTTGAAGCTATAGACTGAATGAGTAATACAGCTAACAAAAAACAAACTACAGAAAATAAGAAAAAATTAAATTTGTAGTCAGGGATGTAGTTAATGGAAAAACAGCTCACTTGCATGCATGTACATTTGGGGGGATGGGCAGGGGCAAATTATTCTGCTTTTCTTTTCATTTCACTGCAAAAAAGCTTTCTAATAATTTAGTCTAAGTGAAAGAGACTGTTTTAGCCAGCATAGTTACATTTCTCCATTCAGCTCTAACAATATACTCCTTTACATGACCTGCAACACCTTTTTATTTGAAATATCAAGCCTTGTCTGAGATGTTATCTCTGCCAAACCATCAAATGGTTTTACAATGCGGAAAAAGCATCTACTTAGGGGACTAGATTATTCCAGATGTGATTTGAGCCTTCCCTAAAAACCTGCAGAACCAGAAAACTAGAAGCTTATAATTATGATTTTATTTTCAGATAATTGCTCTTTGGGAATAAACGTAAAAAATAAAAAAAAAAGTGTACAGATTAGAGACTCTTCCCCATGGAGATGGAGCAGTATGGAAGAAGTCAAATAAGATGTTACAACAGGAAAAGAAATAGAATTTTTTAAAATTCTTTTAAAACTGCATTTTACAGCATGTCTTTCTCAATTTTCATTCAGAATTATGAAATATAAAAACTGTTGTGTTAAAAAAGCCTCCTGCTGCTAAAGCTACAACTCTATGCAATAGATACAGTCTCAGAACTAATACATGTGCTTTTAACACAAGGTGTCTTTCCAGTGCTATAGCAAACAAGAGTTCCTTGTTCTTGGACTTTCTAAATCTTATGTTTATAATGATACAAAATGCCTTTTGTAATAAGCTTTCTTAATGAATGTTCGGACAGCATATTTTATGTTAGCCCAATCTCTGTGGCAGAATTCATTTCTATTTATAACAAAAGGGAAAATTTTATCAGGTCACCAAGGAAGGCTGCTATGGTAACCTGCCAGGTGCTTGGAGATTACTTTTAATTTGTAATAAATAGAGCAGAATATGTGTTTGTCTTCATCACAGGCAGCCCCTTTCACTGATGTTTAGAATTAAGATGACTTAACTCTTTATTAATTTGTTTTCAAATTGCTTACAGCTCTTCCAAAATAAAGCTCTTCAGGCAGCAGTTTTCCATGTGGGTGTTTGAGCTGGGCTGAATATTTCTACTAAAATGGCTTCTGATAATAAAAGTTAACGAAAAATACTGTATCCAAATTGAAGACTTAAAACTATTTTGTGGATAGTGTTTGCATGCATTTTGGATGGGTGCTGGTTTGATGTCCTTCGCTATCCTTCTGAAAATCTGCCACATATAGCCAAATAATCTCAGCCTGCTCACATTCAGTAGGTTGGTTAGAATTTGAGAGCCAAACTCACTAGATTCTCTCCCCAAATCATCTGTATGTGCCAGCTGAACTGAGCCGGCTGTCGGCCTGCAGCTGCTGTTCCTGGAATTGCCCTTCCCAGCAATTGTGGGTTGGCTGTTAGGGTACTGAGCATGAGAACACACAATGGGGAGGAGACTCTTTCTCTTGAGCTGTTAATGTCCTTGTAGCCAGCACCTAGTCGGCATAAAAAGGGGAAAGGGATTGACCTGAAGACAAAGCATGAAGAGCAGGGTGTTATGGAAGCAGACAAAAGGTAGAGGAAGTAATGGGTGCTTTCCCTCCCTGATGAAAGAAAAACCAGAAGAGAGCTAGGGCAGACTGCAGGCATAGGGGCAGAAGAGCCCCAGAATTAAGGCATGTTTCCTTTTAAAACATGAACTTGAAACTAGGATTCTTGAATCTCACCATTCCTCTGCTGTCTAGCAAGAGGCTCAAAGATCCAGTGGCAAATTGTGCACCTGATCCCACGTGAGCAGCTGGTCCACAGAGACAACAACCTTCCACTACTAATTAACTGAATTCATAGAGATCTGGGCTGTGGATATGAAGACCTTAGTCTTACAGATGAAACCACCAAGGAATTGATACAAGCTCCAGAAGACAGAATTCGTTTATTCAGTTTGCATTATTAAAAATATAGCAATGAGCATTCAGAAAAGGATGTTAAGTTTGCCCTGTTGCACAACTTTAAATCTGGCATTTCTTAATTTGTGAGGGCTTGATTCTTCCACTGTAATGCTCTCCCAACGTATAGCTGTAGATCTCTTCTTTACAAAGGTTACAGGTCTTAGTGTGTCTTGTTCTACCATTGATATAAAAATTATGTCAAACAAAAGGATGACCACAGGGTGAATCAAGAGACCTCCAACTTTGCCCAAAATTGCAACTGTGAAGCAATCAAGCATACTTCCAGCCACAGTATACCATGCTTAAAGCATAACCTTTAAAATCTGATTTTAACTTAAGAACATCAGTTACTAATCCTGTAAATGAGAAATTAAATGATATGTTGATGATTCTATCTACAGAAATGGTGGCAGGAGGTGTTATAATTTGCCAAAGTAACAGACTGCACATTTATTATTCATATCAACATTTATAAGATCTGCTGGCATTGATGAAAATGTAACCAGTGACTAAAACCTGAAGCAGAGTAACAAAATGTTCCCCATTTATAAAAAAAAAAAATATAACCACCAAACCCCCCCCCATCCAAATTAAACATTTTCATAGTAAAATTTGCAAGACAGCTCTTACCAAAAAACGATTTTGTTTTTGCTGGAAACTCTCTGGTAAATCCTCCCAGTTATCCAATTTTATATCCAATGGAATGAAATTACAGTTTAGTGGTTCTCCTTCCTAGGGATGCAAGACAATTTGATTAAATCTATTAAATCTGGAGGTAACCAAGGTCTTCAAGTTCTTCACTTTTATTTACAATTGCAACGTCTTAAATTGAAAGAAAGTACACATTTTTCAACAGTTAGCCCAACGATCAAGTGCACCAATACAGGAAAATATTTTTAAAAGCATTTTCATGGTGCTTGTACACTAATACTGTATAGACTTGAGAAACTCAATTCATAGTAGAGTACTTGCAAGTCAAGAGGATTACAAGTTTGCGCTTTGTGGTATATGCCTCTCTTTTAATGCATCTGTCCATGTATCTTATTAGATATGTGGTGAATAGATCTGAAATACAGTACTTTGCATGTAATTAAATATGACAATTTAGCAGTATTTCAACTGTTAATTGGAAAAGCACTGTAGAAGCACAAGAATGGATACAGACGTACTCCTTTAGAATGGAGAAAATTACTTGATTTCACCTGAAAACTGTGTCTAGGAAGTGGTGTGATATAGGTCGAGTTTCTCCATTGGGATCTGAATGAGCTCTTTCTCAACTGATTTTCAATGTGTAGGATCCCTGTGGCTCAAAGCCTAATCCGGGACTTAGAGAAACTGCTCTGGCAGGGGAGAAGTGAACTCTCAAATACCACAGTGCACAGGAGAGATGGCAGTGCTGAGTACTGTGAGAGTTTGGCTGATGACTGGCGTTCCCAGATGCCACAGTAATACTAGGAACTCTTCGATTCAACTTCTCGCCAAGTGGAAGGGGCAGACTGGGAACCACCAAATCATCAGTTCTAAGCTCACCTCACTCTCTGAGTAGTTTCAGTTCTGTGCAGTAGCATAACTGGAGAGGGGCAGGAGCTCTGGGTACCAATACAAAGGGTGCAACATAAAAATAGCCCCCAAGGAACTGTACTGCCACAGCAGCCTGTTAGGGGAGCTTGCACTGAGGCAGCAGCAGCCCGTGTCCAAGGAGGTAAGCACTCACCTTCTCCCCACTTGTCCCAGGGCACCAAAATTATAAGCTGTGCCTCTGGTTTATTTCAAATGATTAGGGAAGCCAGTATAATTTAGCCTATTTTATACATAAGGCAACTGAGAGGTTTTCAGAGATTTCTAACAAAATGGTACCAGAACCCATGTAGCTAACAGAGGTGCAAAGTACACATCTTCTCTTCTTGCAATGGCTATTCACTCAGAGGAGGACATTTCTAGAACTAAAGTTTCATAGATTTGCACTGAGGACATAAAGATCTTTGGCTCAAATGCTACCGCTGGCTCATATGTGTCACCTCATAGAATTTCTGTTTTCTCGAGTTTATAAAAAAATATTTTATCAAATTCACAATGAATAAACCAGTATGGTTGTCTGAAACTATATAAATCATTCAAGCATGGTGAGACATGAAAAACCCGGGTGATGCACATTTCAGTTGCATCTGGAACTGAATGCCATGGTTAGCCTGAAGGAGTCTATTAGACTGAAAATTTCTAACTCCCAAAGCAGCAATTGGAGAGTGTCTAGAGGTAGAAGCAAGCAAGCCCTTCCTCAGAAAACAATGAAGATCATTGATTGCTATTTTTGTACTCCGATTGCTTTGCGTACCAATGGGAATTTTCTATATTTATTTTATTCAGGGGATGGTAGGGTATTATAGACATGGCACCATTAATCATGCCTAATTTAGGAAGAAACATTACATTTGCACATTTAGCTTAAAAGAGGAACTGTCATTATTTGTATTGACACGTTGAACATTCTGCCAGTTAAGCATTTTTGTTATCCTCTTTATAGCTGAACCTCAGAAAGCATACACCCACCTTCATCTATAATCCAATATACTTAGTGCAGTTCTTTAACTGAAAGATTTGTAAATAGTTTAGAATAAAAAATAATAGCACAAACTATAATTTCAGATATTCTGCAAAACAACTGAAGAAAACTTAATTTGATAATTTTCTGTTGTTTTTGGTCAAGGCAGGTGGCTTAGTCATATCAGATCTGAAGAAATGAGTTTGGTAAAGCAGTTTTCAAACAGCATTTTAAAATAGCTTGAGGGTGTTTAGGGAAAATATGTATTTCTGTTTTGCCATTGTAGTCCACCAGATCAACATCACTGTTCAGAAGAGCCCATTAAAAACAGTACTGTGACTCCCTGTGATTTTAATTTTGAATTAGGTCCTAATTAGACAAGTTGTTAGTGCTTTCCACCTCCAACTCACTTGTAGTAATAAACAGAATGACAAAACTTTACAAACAGGAAGAGAAGAAAGAATTTACAATTCTAACAACTAAATATCATGAAATTTCTTTTTTGCAATAAAGGAATGAACACCTGCGCCTCTAACATTTAATCCTATTAATTAACTCAATATACATCTATTATGAAAATAATTTTGTTCATTTGTCACCTAGGAGAGAAAAGTTAGTCTAGTGAACTACTTAATTTCTTGAAGGAAAATAATTAGGAGATAGGAAAAACAGACACTTGTTATAAAGTATGCTAATTAAAATGGAAATACAGAAATAACCGTGAAAGATTACATTACAAATAAAATGCTAGTATGCTAAAAAAGCCAACTGGTATGGCAAATTTAGAGAGAGCTACTGAGAGCAATCTAGTGCTTACCTTTGTGTAGAGATGAATTCTGTCAGTATTCCTGCTTGCACAGAACATGAGCCCATCATATGCTGAAAAAGTACCTGAGTTGTCTGTGGGTTCTGTAAATGAAAAACAAGACTGATTTTTTCCCCAACAATAAGTCATAATTTTTATTACCATAACCAAAAGTGGAAAAAATGATCATGTAAACCATAGAAACGGGTAACTAAATTTTAAAGACTTAGGGTGAACATCCTATCTAGGCAGCATAGTCCTACGGAAAAGCAACTAAGAGATTTGTAAATTTGAAGTAATCAGGAGTTGTTCTTATACAATGTACATTATTCATTCAATGCCTATTTGCTTTTTTTCCTAAAAATTAATTCCTCAGAAGACTATAAAAAGTTGGTGAAATTCAGACTGAAACAAAAAAGTTTCAACTTTCAATTAAGCAACATCATTCTAATAAACTTCCCTCTAGCATCAGCTTTAAAGCTGTTGTATAATAATTATGACTTACAGTACATGAAATCCTCCTACTACTGTATTCTTCATTCATTGGATGCAAGATCATTGCTACAGGGTTTGGTTTTGCATATGCATTTGTATAGTGCTAAGTCTGAGGGATCTGATTCCAATTGGAGCTTTTGAATGCTATTGTTATATCATACAATGGAAGTATTTTAAGTTTGAAGTATGCTGACAACAGCATGCTCCCATTCTTGCCTAATTCATACCATTTGAGAAGTCTTCACACTTGAATAAATTTGAGACATTAATACAAAGATGTGTCTAAATTTGGTAACCATATTTTCTTTGTGAAGTCAGATTCTTTTCCATCCATCCCTTTCGTTAACTTATAAGTCTAGTCATCCATTAAAATGGTAGGTTTATTAATTAGACCCATATTTAATAGCTGCTCTGTGAAATACCTAGCTCACTACATGTGTTTACAAAAAAAGTTAGTTTTTACCAAAGCATGGAGTTGCACTATTCTCAATTTCTCAGATACTGGATTATTATTATACTGTCTGACCAACCTGGTCGCCTTTTATGACCAAGTAACTAAATCCCTGGATGATGGTGTCGCTGTGCACGTAGTCTTTCTAGACTTTAAGAAGGCCTTTGACACTGTCTCTCACCCCATCCTCGTCAATAAATTAAGCGACTGTGGCATTGATGTCTACACAGTTGGATGGGTAAAAAATTGGCTGATGGGGCGCACCCAGAGAGTAGTGGTAGACGGGTTGTACTCAGCCTGGCGAGATGCGAGCAGTGGGGTACCCCAGGGCTCGGTCCTCGGGCCTGCACTGTTTAACATCTTCATCAGTGACTTGGACGAGGGGGTGGAAAGCACGCTGTCTAAGTTTGCCAATGACACTAAGATGTGGGGCAAGGTGGACACACTTGAAGAGAGAGAGAGAGGCTGCAACTAGATTTAGAAAGACTACAAAAGTGGGCAGACGAGAACAGGATGGGGTTCAATGTAGACAAATACAGGGTGCTGCACCTTGGGAGAAGGAATCTACAGCGCACATACAGGCTGGGGAGTTCCCTTCTTGAAAGCACAGAGGTGGAAAGGGATCTTGGAGTCATTACTGACTCCAAG